ATCAAATCAGTTTTGCCGGGTCAAATCGATTCTATCGATGTCACCTGCAAGTAGACCGATAATAACCCTGCACACAGTAGTGACCCCGTACTCTCGACTCGCGATCGATCATGGTACCGTTTTTAGCGGAGGCGAATAATTCATATATTCTATAAAGCGAGAATAGAGTCTATTCTTTCGGTGATGAAACATTTCGTTCGGCATAAAGCGAAAAAATTATCAAATGAATAAAAAAGAGAATCGAGAAGACGAAAATACGAAACGATACGAAAATACGAAAAAAGCTGCAATATTATTTCGTGGTCGATATTTGCACGAACATGTTTTACCGATTTTTATTCGCTCAAAAAAATATTTGATTAATATTTTTCCTCACATCAATATGAAATATATATATTAAATTTACAATCTAAATGCATATTTGAAATATGTATACAAAGAAAAAAGCATTATCAAGAATTTCCGGTTAATTATATGAATGATATATATATAGGTCTATTCTTTCCGGTTACACTTATTACATTCGTTCTTTCTTTTCTTCCAAGATGTAAGTACATGCTTGTTCCATAATAAGTACAGGAAACGTACGGTGGAAAAATACGGAACGGATATTAATGGAACTGCATGTGAGAGAGAAAAAGAGAATGATATTTTTCTTCGCGGTTAAAAACTTTCGTCCGTTTTATTTGCCGATGAAACGTGCTTAAAAATAGAGCACGTAATTAATGAAAAAGTTAAATCGCGGTAAAAAATATATTTGATCATGAAATTGATCTGAAATACTTTCCAATAATATTTTCCGCGTACGAATGTACATACCTCAATGTTACAAATCGGCATTACATGATGATTTTTAACGACGATTACAACAATTGTTTATTAAAAAAATTGATATCCGATCGTTCTAGTTGAGAAAAATTCTTCAAATTCACAGACAATGTCATTAAAGTGAGATATATCTACTTTCAATCTATTGTACATTCTTCAATTTTATATCTCTTGCTATCTGTTCTCTCTTTTCTGTTCTTTTACTCTCTCTCTTTTATTTTTACTAAAAGAAATCACGAATTTGATCCCCATAGTAATTTCCATCTTGGCGCGTTTAATCATCGCCCACCACTCACTGTGTATTTTCTCCTGGATGTTTTATTCCATTGATTTTCCGGCGAGCTTTCCCCTTTTTTCCCGTCTCCGATGTCGTCCGAATCCGCTTTTCACGACACCCGTCACAATCGCCACGCACAACTATCCACCCGATGTCTCTTCTCGTCTCGTGCGAAACGCGCAAATTCGCCGGACAAAAAATCGCGCTGAGATGTGTCTTCAGCGTGGCCGATGGCACCGAGTCCGGTCGGTTCACTGAGAAAGAGAGAGAGAGAGAGGGACTGGCCTAGGACAATATTAGAACCGGGTTCTCTCCGCCGGACCGCACCTCGTCCATCTCTCTATATCCCGCGAACCTCTCGTCTTGATCTTGGTCCATCCCACGCTCCCCGACTCCCTGAGGCTCCCTATCTACTCACCCCGCTTGAATACGACTCGACGTAATTTCGCACAAACATTCGGCCGTAAATCATTGAAATTACATTACGCGTGTACGTTATTCGAATTAATATTAATAAAAAATTTCATTATCTATCGAGATACCAGTGAACATCTCCCGCGACTTTTTTTCATAGAAAAGATCGAGTTTAAAATTTCTCTAAAATCGATATTAAATTTCACCGGAAGGTGATATTGTATAATTTAAATCTGAAAAAGTAAAATTGTCATACCGATATTTATAGGCGGAGACTTGATTTTTCTCAAACGTACTATTAATCGATTAATCGACTTTTAATTCACCTTGGTACCTGCATATCGAAGATGATTATATCAAAAAAACGTTTATTTTTTTTTTTAACACTTAATACGACTACAGTGCCTTATATAAGTCCTCCTTACATTTCCGTTACACATCGCACGCGCGCGCTTGTGTCTCGTTTTACGCGTGTGATACTTTCTTAATTATTGCATGCAATCTACGATTGCATATCGCATGTTCATACTCGATATCCGATCGTGGAACGCGCGCACTGGCATTGCAATCGTACTAACGCGACCTCGAGATCGAGATCGTTACGCGATCTCGATGCAGGTAACAGTCCACGACCCATCGTCGCAGGTATGTTTGCAATGCTCACGTAAGACGCCCCCGCCCCTCCCACGTCGCGCGTGTGCAACGCGCGTGATAAGGCGAATCGTGTTAGATTTAGGGTCAACGATGCGAAATACATACGTGATGAGGCGAGTCCACCTGACATTATTCGGCGCGTGGGTGCGCCTTTAGGTCAATGTTAATAGCCGTGGTTGATCATAATCCTTATAAGATCATCTACGACGAATAACAAGTGTTTTGGCTAATGTCGGACGAATCTTTCAATCTTATCGATATTTTATTAACTTACATTTCTTTTTTATCGAGAAATAAGAGATCTCAATATCTCTTTCAATATTTTTATTTCACAATTTAAGCATAAAATTAAGAGATATGATGGAGAGAAAAAATAATATTATCCTATTTATATATGTTTATCCTATAATTATATTGGATATATAAATTCAGCATATATATACATACTATCTGTCGGATATAGATGCTGTTTTACACTTATGCTATACGCATACAATTAGTGAGGCATAATCGAAATACAACAAGAAGACCGTCTGTAACAACCACGTATGTTTTCGGTCTTGCAGATCTGGAATTAATTAGCCACAATCGCTGCTCTTGTTATGACGTTTAATCGTAAACCAAGAAGCATTGGTTACAACCCAGGAGCTTTTTGCGCACCCCTTGTGTCTTGTTAGTCCCCTTCGTTTATAAAGAAGATCACTTGAATTATCTGCGACGCCACAGTGCATGCATGCAAAAAGGAGTCTGCAGTTGTAGAACTCTAACCGCGCGATAATAAATAAATAAAAAAATGTGCAATGTGCAAAATACATAAAAAAATAGATGGAATATTTATATGTAATATTATCAATTGAGATCCAAGAGATCTCAATCATAAATATACGACGACAAATATAATCACGGTTTCTAAAGCTCTCTCTGGATAAAAGAAAGTTTGCCCTTTGACAGATTCCGCAATTTGAGAACCTCTGGTATAGCGGGTAACAACTCGGACTCCACAACCTGGGTGGTCAGAGTTCAAATACCGTCCGTCATCTCCGGAGTTTTCTGATACACACGCCATAACTTCCACCATGACTCAAAACACGCTCCGTTATCTTTGGAGCTATGTGACATTTTCTCTTTCCAATTCCGTGGGCGTTAAAACGCGTTATGTTTTGACGTAACTCGCCTTCCTATCGGATGATTCTAATGTACACGATAATGCGTACACGCATAATGCAATTGAAGGCTCACGGATAAAACCGGAGAGAACAAGACCGCAATCAGCAGCTACGTGACTTTCGCAATCACCGCCGATACCGTCCGTCTTGCGCATCTCTTTTGCTACTTGCGGGATTCCGCGGGGGTTGCGAAAGGGGAGAGAAGGAACCCGGGAATAATGGCGGTTGTTGGAGCGAGTAAAGATCAATTCGTCTGCAGGTAATAATGTCGGGTAAACACGCGACGCGAAGGTTCGCGCCCAAGGACCCGCTGCACCTCGATATTGACGTATCGAGCGGTAAACTGAATTAAGAGACGACTTTCATAATGGTGAGCTATTTATAAAGCATCGGCTGAAAGAGCGTATTTTTATTAACAATGCACCAAATTTCCACATTCAGTGCGAAATGCATATCGATCGAACAGTCTTTTTATTCGAAATTCGATCAGCAACCATCTCGATTAGATTTAAAAAAAAATGTAGCTACAATTTTAACGCGAGAAATGTAACTTTTTATTTCATTTTATTTTATATTTAATATATACTTTATTTATTCTTTTAAATAATTTATCTTTATTTCTTTCCAGATTCAAACTCCAACATTGCGTGTCGTTACATCGCTAATCGTGATATTACACACATTGAAGCGAAGAGAAATATTAAGAGGAATGCATTATGTATAATAAGCGAATAAAGCTTTTATGGGCGACCTTCCCTTCGAAGAATGTGGTCTCGGTCGATATTTTTTCCGAGGTGTGCGCGGAGCAAACGTTGGACGCGCAAATATTTGCGATATACTCGCTTACGATACTCTTATTCTGAAGTCAAGAGCGCGGTTATAGATATTTCCGGTTGAATCTAGAAAAAAAATTTCATTATATCCGAATGTGTATCTAGCTGCGCTCTAACACGAGAAAGCATTCCTTCAATTGCACGTCAAGTTTCTAGTCGACGGAGAAATCTAGCGATGTTTACGTCACGACAGATCATCATCATTGTGCTATACTTTGTCGTTATACTTCGCCGTCTAATTTCGGCGTGATTCTGCCTATTAATCTCATAAGACTTTCTACTCATCTTTTTGCGTATGTCAGATGATTACATCCTGCGTGTTCGCAGATAAATACCAGCGTCTGCTTCCCGAATAGCGCCGCGAGCTACAGCCCTCGTCGAGATTGAGAGAGCAAGAAAGAGAGAGGAAGAGAAAAAGAGATCTCCGACTCTCTCGCAATTAAAGCCTCGAGCGGCCGCTTAAGTTACGATTGTTACGGAATTAAAGGCGCCTCTCCGCGAGAGAACATAATCCCTGCTGGCTGCGAGAATCCAACTCCCTTCAAACTATCCACAGTATTCATCATAAACGAGAGGTCTCGTGAAATATAAAAAAAAATATATATATGCATCAGTTTGAGATAAAACTTTTTCATGCGAAACGGCTTTTATGTAAAATTATTTGCAGAGATCTCCACATCTCTTTCTCTTTTTCTCTCTTATCCGCGACTCCCTTTAAATTTGTATCACATTTACTTTAGGAGCGCGACAAGCGCTTGATTTACGCTTTCTTTAACGCTCCCCTTCACGTGACACATAGATCGAACGCATAGGAATTAGCGTACAAACCTTTTTCCGGTATGTGCTTGGCAAGCAAGCCCATTGCGCGTAACTCGTGTGAACCATTGTGAAGAGATTTTTCTCGATCGCAATCTCTCCTGCTTCTGAAGCACGCGCGATTGTATGCGCGTTTGATGATGACTGCTTGCTCTACAAATGCGCGCACTTTTCTAAATCATCGTCGCGCACAATCGCCTTCGATGCCGGATGCAATTTCGTCTCATTGTCAACATTGATACACTGTAGTAGTTTCACACCGCAACTCGCAATTTCTAAGAAATTTCTAAGAATCTGGCTCAAAATTCAATCCTCCTTTTCTCGAGAGGAAAAGAAATGCTCGAAACGATCCTTTTCACCGATCTCTCTCCCGCGTCTTCTCGTTTAAACGTCAATTGAACATTAGAGGGATTCTCACACTTTGAAATGTCCGGATCGTTTCGCGAGCGCGACTTCCGCGTTTCTCAGGACACGAGCGATGAATTCTCAAAGCTCTTACGAGGCGTACGCGGTGTGGCACACACGTAGCACAAAGCTTTCCCTGTTTTCGCGCGGAAAAAAAGCCGCTATCGAGTCTTGCACCATCGATATGACTCAGGCGTTCGCGTTCCTGTTCGTCGAGCTGTATCAATCCGACACATTCATCGATCATTTAACAGGCTTTTTTTTTATCGGAGCACCATTTTTCTCTCCGTCTCTCTCTTTCTCTCTCCGCACAAAGAGCCGTAGTTCGTCATCGACTAGCGAAACAACGACGCAGATCCGATAAGGCGTCGGTCCCCGCTCATCCGCGTTATCGAAATGGCGCGAAATTAAAAATCCATTAGTTAGATACGAATCGCGAATTCCGATAACAAACTTGCGATCGCGCTATTTGATAATTCGTACTCGAGGAGCGAGAAAACACGTGCGCCTGGAACGAGCGGCGATCGGGAACGTACGTCTCTCGATCGTACGCGGGCGAGGAATCGCTGCCACTGGCCCAAGAAACGACGGCGCGGTCGCCTCGACGCGGCGAAGGCATATGGGACCCTCAGGCCCGTCATTACGAGGCTCCATCGAGACTCCCAAGGAAGAACGGAGTGCGTGGAATACGCCGAAGAAGGCGGCATATTCAATGATGAGAAAGGAAACATTCCCTTGCGCAAAAGGAAATATTTATGATAAAAAATCATAATTAAAAGAAATATTTCATAACCCAATTTTGGTGCTTTGAATATAATTTGCTTTCATATATAATATACTTCTACTTTTAACTGAATATCAGAAAGTTAAAAATCTTTGATTAAAATTGTAATAAAATAAAAAATAATAATTTAAGGCAAATAAAAATTGAACAAAAGTAATAAAAATTTTAAAATCGATTATAATTATGATATATAAAGATAAGAAAAAAAAAAGAAACGTGATAAAATAAAAATTTTTAATCAAATAAATATCTAATCCTAAAGAGCGCGGAGATGACGAATCGTAAATGGTGAACGCGGTTTTGGGGCCTCGACGATACCTCGACACGTTCCTGATCACTAACTCGTTCTACGACGATAAGTATCGAGAGTAGACGACAGGGCTGCGGAGAGGCGTAGTCACACAGCGGGGCCCTGTTATGCGGGCGTAAGCGAACGCTAGTTCGAAACGGGGCGAGCACATTCTCTTTCTCAGAGAGGGCAAACGTCGACAGGGAGAATGCAGGCGCGAACGAGCGAGTGAGTCACCGACTCTCTTTCCCTTCGCCGGAATGACCAATGAACTAAAGAGCGCAAGGGCCCCTCTTGCACCCGCGGAACGTGCGCCACCGCAGACACACAATCGTCGTCATATGTATGTACATCGGGGTCGTACGAGTGGCTCGTCAAAATGCTATTAGCGGCCATTTGCCCCTCGCCCATTCAAAGGCCCCTCGAGCTGCGGAAACGCGCGCGGTCGCGACGAGTCACCGCGAGAGGTGGCTGACCTTCATCGCTAATTCCTAAGCGGAGTTTTGACATTACGCAAAAAAATCATCCTGAACCCAGTGACCTAAATACCCGCTGTCGTAAATGGCAAGCTTGAGTCTCGTTCGTATTTTTTGAATAAATTTTGAGAAGAAGCTTCGCTCTTTAAGATTTTTTACCTCGTAGAAAGATGAGTGACTATAATAATGAACGGATCAAAGTGCAAGTGTACTTTGCATTTCTAACGTAAAACATGCACGTACGTTCTCTCCTCCCCTCTTCCTCCACCGTTTCGGAAAGAACGCTTCAAGATCGTCGTAAACGTCGAGTACATTGTATAATTGCCATCGCGGCAATATATTCCCTGACCTTGTCGTTATCACGTTCATAGCGGTAGAAACAAAGGTGTTATCAGGTGCTCGGAATTGCGCCGTCCATTATTCATTAGACAGCGGCGGCGGCGGTGGCTTTAGCATTTATTTACGCGCCAAACGCACGGCCCGGAGATCGGAGCAAATTTATGGGCAGACATCAAACTTGCGCTTGCGATCGAATGCACACAGTTATTAAATTCTTGGCAACAGCCGAGCAGCGTTTCGCCTCTAGGGACGTCTAGGATTTAATGATGCTCTGACATCACTTTCTTCATTCGCCACTTGCATGAGGATATACATAATATATTCTCATCGATTAATTTACCATTATAAAATCTCGCTCTCTTAATTATCCTTGAATAGTGAAATATCTCTATCTAAAGAGATTCTGAAAGAAGGATCTCTTCTTTAAATATTTAGAGATATTTCACTATTAGGATAATTATTTAATTATTTAATTATTCGAGGATAATTTTGATATGAAAAAGATTTCTCTTTTTTCTGAAGAAGAGATCCCTTCCTAATAATATCGAAATTGCATAATTCGTGGAGTCATCCATAGTGATATCCTTGGCCATCGATACTAGCTAAGATAAAGATAATAATATTCGCTATCACAAAGATATCGTCTCGTTGAATATCGGGACATCCCTGGGGCCGATGCCGCAACCATTGGCGTAGCCAGGTGTCGGGGCGACGACGCCTACTCTTATGCAGCCCGGCGTGCGGGCTGCAAGCGCGCTGCGCGAGTCTGCAGGCGGCGGCGATCGATTACTTTTACGGGCGGAAAGGAGTAAAGCGCGCGACGGCTCCACCTCGTGCTCTCCAAGATTGAGAGAGAGAGAGAGAGAGAGAGAGAGAGGGAGAGAGGAAGAGGGGAATGTATTAATGGCACAATGTTGTCGTTCCCGTATTCGTAGTGCAAAGTACTTGGACCGAGTTACAAGTTTCTATTAATGTCATGTCTCGAGTCGGGGTGCGTTACTTATCGTCGTTAACGGTCTTGTTGCGAAGCTCGACGGCTTTCATGCCGTCACGTTATTACGCTCGCAGCTTTGAACAATGAATTAAGCCGCGGCGCAGCTCTCGCGGCTCTCTGCTCCTCAAACCGCAGCGAAATACTGGCGCGAGTAACGCAATTTGGAATTGTAGATTGCAAAGTTAAATGCCCTGATTTTCATCCGTTGTAAATCGAATCATTCGAGCCCGCGCGCCGGACCGAGCGTGCAAGATGCTCATTCTCGATAAGCGAAACATCCAAATGACAATTTATGTTCAATTAATAGCCCGCGCGCGTCTATTAATTTATTTCATTATCGAACTTTGGCATTTCGGGGAGTCGAGTACCGCTGCTGTTTCTGATTATTATTCCCAATTACCGTTGGGCGATCTCGCGCGGCTATGATAAAACACGTCGCATAATTCGAACGGAAGAGAATAATTCTCGTGGATCAGAAATTTGACCGCGTTCGATCAAAATGATAGACGCGCGCGCGCTTCACATTCCTCCAAGAAGCAAACTCGCGTATTAATCGAATAGTGCGTATCAAGCTGGACTCGGTCCGTGGCGAATATCTATTTTTAACGGACGCGTTGTATCCGAAGCGCATTCCGCATTCGGTCCAATTTGCATCCGGCAATGCTTGTCCGCCGATTGAACGGGAATCCCGCCATCGAGAGGATTCGTCATTTTATCCGAGAACGCAAACGTACCGATGAAACGACCCCGTGAATGCGGGAGATAAGTGTGAATTAATGGCCGTTTGCCCCGGGGTCAGAGAGCGAGCGCACCAAATTGATACCGAGAGAGGGAGATAGACGCATAGCTGCTCGTTTCTAATGCTCGATAGCAATAAACGATCGTCTATGTACGCCGGAAAAAAATTGCACCGAGCCTCTTAACCCTTCGCTTCTCGCGTTCCGCCCACAACGTGTATCTTACTTGCGTGCGTCGAGAGATGTCAAGTCGCGATCATTCAACCGGCGGATGAATAGGCACGATAGCTAAACGAGTTAATATCACGATAGATATTTTTAATAAACGAGAGATGAAACATCTCTCTCGCTTTCAAACACGTTCGTCATATCGAGAAAACTCGTAATTTAAATCAACACTCGATCCTAGAATTTGTTTACCGAGAGAAAGAAAGTAATTTCTATAATATTTAATGAAAAAAAATATGTTCCCCGTCTCGAGTGGATTTAATGTAAGGAGCCGCGTGGCGTGTAATTCGCGCTCATCTGAAACGCATCGCCGACAACAAGCGCGCGAGAAATAATAAGATTCGTTGGATAATTTATTTGCCTCCGTGATAAAATCCGTTATCTCAGCTCCGTGGATGAGAGCGGACGTTTAGCTTAACTCGAACGTTACATTACGAGGCGAGCAATGACGTATCCACAACCGGTGGTGCAACCGAGCCGCTATACGTTGCTATTTACGTGTCTATTTTCGTTGATTAACCACCCCGTCATCGCTCAACATAGCGATAAGCTATATTCCGCGCGCATAGAGATCGAAAATGCCGCGATTACTTATACATTCGACACGCTCCAAGGCGAGCCTCGTCGTAAAGAAGTTTTAAGACGCACGCGAAATTACAAGATAGGAAAAATATGCGAATAAATTATATCGTACTTTCTCTCTCCACAGTCTATAATGCAGTCGATCGCAAATACGTGGTATAAAGTTTTGTTTCTGATACCTTCCTCAAAAGAAAAAGCTACAACGCTGCCGATCGAGAGGCGATAGCTTCGAGCTAGACACTTTGTTCAAAGTTATATCGGCAAGTTTGAAGCTTCATTGTATCTTGCGAGGAAAAAACAATTTTAAGTCCTTTCGTCGCGACTTAAAATTCCGATGAATGTATGTTACGAGAATTAATAAATGATCGAAGACAGCTCTGCGTAAAATTCCATATGCGAAGTCGATAGCACGTGACCGGTTTCAGTTTAACAGAAAACGAAGTGAGTCTGACAGGCGGTCGGCGAACGAAATATATTCACGTGCGAGCATTAAAATGAAACATCGCCGACGTAGAAACGCGAGAACTAGGGACCTAGGATTATGGAAAAGAGCCTTAAAGTGGAACTCTAGTCCCGATGAAACGTGTCGCTCTTTCTGTCCCAGGGCTTATTAACATTTATAGCGTAGATTTAACGGCGGAAATGCCTTGTAAATTTTGATTGCAATTTTGTGATTCTCCAAAAAGCATCGCGAAGACGATGTCCTCCTCGTGTTTCGTCCTTTAATCCTCGCTAATGTAGCAGATTCGTCTCAGTGAAAATTCGCCTCGAAAATTATACAAATTG